GTGGGATGATTTCTTTTCAAAACCAAATTGTGATTAATATTAAAAAATGTGTTGTTTTCCCCAGGAAAGGATTTCTGGTACAAGTCTGGTTTTGGCTACCCAGCTACTTGCCAGTATTCCCTCCATGTGCAGAAATGTGTCTGTGTGTACTGAGGAATGTGTCGATGTGCACCACCAGTAGAAACAAAATTTAGCTGTGGGCACTCTGCTAATCAGTGGGGAAGCATTTGAATTTCGAATGGCCACACAAGTGCTCAGCATACAGGGAGCACTGATGGAGACTCACTCAGTGCATGTACTCAGGACCAAGTGTGTTATGGGAAGGCCAGATATCTATTTAAGAACCACCCTCATTCTGGTTAGCCCTACTGGCAGAACTGGGGGAAGAGGCTTGCCTGGAAAGAATGTGTCAATTTCATGTTCTCACTATAGGCAGAAGGAAATAGGATCTTCCAGACAAGTTGGTGGGGAGCTGTTGTTTCCTGATGGAAAAGTAAAAATCTTCCCATGAATATTTCAACTTTACAAAAAGAGAATTTTTATTGAAAAATCACTCTGATGGAAAATTCCTGATCGGCTCTCAGAAACATGAGGTGTGAAAGGATAATCTGCTACAGGTTGGACCTCCCTGATCCAGCACCAGTGGGACCTGACCAGTCCTCGATGAGGAATTTTGCCAGACCAGGAGAGGTCATGTTTAGCCCTCCTACTACTGGCTTCCCCAGCCCTAGACCAGCTACTGGCCGGCTCCCTCCCTCAACCCCCTGCTGCCAGTGCTTGATTTAACAAGATCCAATGGTTTGAAGGCGAAGCTAAACAAATCAGACTGGAAATAAAGCATGCATGTATAAAAATGAGGGAAACTAGCCACTGGAACAATTATCACGACTTAGGCGGATTCTCTGTCACTGGAAATTTAAAAGCCAAGAATAGACATTTTTCTAAAAGATATACTACACGGTGGACTGGTTAAAATAAAAGTGATTAATCCATAATTAAATAATAATTTAAATCAGCAATCAAGAAACCTGGATTCAAATCACTAGTTTTACTTTTTAATTATTTCCCTAAAGAAAGCCTGATTCTCTTCACTTGATATTTCTTCTGCTAGCCAAGAGATATGCCATACTTATGCACATTGATTTAGGCAGATAGCTTAGATGTGGGTTGTGCCCACGAAAGCTCTTTTTTTTTTTTGCTCTCTAAAGTGCTGCAATACTATTTGTTGTTTAACTTTTTCTAACTTAACATACGTTTATTCAGTTTCTTAATTTTACATTTGTATTATGTTACAAAATGGTGAAAGATGGGTTTCTTAACTGCTACAGGATTAGGGATGTTAAATTTAGTTTAATCAGTTAGTTGATGGAATTTTCAATGTAGCTTTCCATGTAGCTTGTTATTTTTGCAGGGTTGGATTATGGGTTCGCAGATACTCAACCTTCTAGTTTCTTTTTCCAGCTATTCCCTGCCAACTCTGTACCTTGCAAATTGCAGTATGCAGACTTCAGGTCTCGAGGTTTTCAGTTAATTTGTGAGCTGCCATGTGCTTTATACAGGAGAAAAAGGTAGAGTACTTTCCTTTGCTACAACCAGCACATATGCACAGTGAGGCTTATCTTGCATTTTCCTGCGTACCCAGGGCTCTCATTGAAGTCAGTGGGAGCTTTGAGTTCACAAGAAATCAAGAATCACAGCTCTTTTCTTGAAACTTGTAGATTTGCTTTCAAAGGTGTAACTTGGGGACAGAGTGCACACCAAGCAGGCATGAGTTACAATGGCTACGTCTGTACTAGGGTAAAAGGTGTATTTTAAAATATGTTGGCTAGCGAGTTTGAACTAATGTGTTTAAAAATCCTTGTATTGAGAGGGCAAGTTGTATTTTAACATGTTTTAGCTGGCCACTGTGAACATTGCAGGAGAACCTATGGTTAAAATACATGCAAATACAGGTCACAGAAAATTTCCAAGGGTGCAGAATTAGGGCTACTGTGGCAGCTGCTGCCTACACGTAAGCTTCTTAAACGTGTTAAATAATTTGGAGAGACAGGGGGCGTTTAAGTGGAGAACAAATCACAATAAGTGAGGGGGGGAAGGTTGCTTGGAAAAAAGCCCTAGCGTACAACCTCTGAATGATGTGTATTTATATGAGATACTTGGTTTGTGTGTGTGTTCCTTTTGAATTCCCTAAGAATGCATTAGCTTCCCTCTCTTCCCCCCCACTCCAATAAACTGTTTATACTGCTTTCTGGTCTTCATGTATGTATCATGTTAGCTGAGAGAGAAACAAAAAGTAAGTGTTCATAAAGAATCTGATCCCAGATCAGTCAAAAACTTCCTTACAGTGGGGTTTGGATCAGACCAAAAATAAGAAGTACGCAAATAATACTTTATTTGCTTCTTTTTGTGTGAGAAATGGTTTCCTAGCTGCCTACATATGGTATCCGCAATAAGAGAAGGAGTACAGTATAATAATACAGGTTGCATCTCCCCAAACCGGAATTCTCTGGTCTGGCAACGTCCATGGTCTGGCAGGACCAGAGATGTTCCTGGATCAGAGAACCTCGGTAGCCTAGTGCCAGGAGAAGCAGGTTGAAGCCCCTGACAGCCTGCGGCATTGGGACCGGATAGGGACAGCCTCTGGAAGCTCAGGGTCAGGCCAGCAACAGCCTGTGGCAGCACAGTGCTGAGGCCAGAGCCCCCGGCAGCCTGTGGAAGCAGGACCAATGCCAGGGCTGATGGCAGCCCCCGCCCAGGGCCGGATTAAGGGGGGGGGGGGTTAGCCAGGCAGCTGCCTGGAGCACATGATGGCAGCTCTTAAGGGGCGCTGCATGGCCCCCAGCCCCAGGCGCACGGTGCCTGATGGCAACTGTAAGGTGTGCAGTGTGCCGGGGGCAGGGCTGCTTGTGCGCGCAGCTGTGCATACATTGTGCACCCACTGCCTGGGGCACAGGAATGGCTCGAGCCAGCCCTGCTCCCAGCAGGATGGGGCTGGAGCCCTGGGCAGCCAGTGGAAGGGGGACCAGAGCCCATGGGCTACTACGGGACTAGGACTGGAGCCCAAGCCCTATGGCAGCCCAGCCAGGGCCAGAGCCAGCCCCTGGCAAGTCAGCCCTTGGCAGCCTGTGGTAGCGCAGGCTTCTGCAGCCTGGCAGGCAATCCGGCTGGGCAGCAGCAGTGGGGGCAGTGACCCTGCAGGCAGCCTGGCAGGGACTGGAGGGAGTTCCTCTCTTCTCTTCCCCTCCTTCCCAGCTGAAAGATCCGGTGGCTGGGGGTTCTGGCAAAATTCCCTGGTTCGGAACTGGTCAGGTCCTGAGGATGCTGGATAAGAGATGTCCAACCGGTATACTGCATATAGCGTAGTCTGTTACACACTATGAACATGTCATTTTGATTTTATACAGCATAATTATGGTGTACAATGTACTTCATTGGGTTTTCCAGTAAGCCTTGTTGACAGAAGAGTTCCTTTTTACTAACCAGCTGTATATGAGAGAAATCAACTGAAGACTGTTCTGATTTTACATTTACATAATTGTAATCTAGTTTTACAATATAAAGGCATATATGCAGTTTCCTAGTATGGTTGGTTATCTATAATGTACACATTGTCTACAAATGGAATTCAGTAACAGAGTAATAACATTATATATAAAGATTTAATAAGTATAACTTTGCCTTACTAAACGTTATCATTAAGTACTTCTCCATTTCACAGAAATATCTCACTCATGCAGTGCTTTTCATCTAGGCACTTTAGACTATACACATACAAGAATAAGTTCACTTCTTACTTAAATGCAGCCACTGCTGTGGAGACATAGAAACTGGACAGTCTTTTGAGACTAATGATCTGCATTAAGAACACATGGATTTTTTTTTTTTAATTTTAAAGAAACAATGTGCCAACTATATCCTCTTCGGTCATGTGTAGTTTTCTTAAAGCAGGGATGTAAATCACTATTAACAGGAATATTTGTAGAGTTTTAAGAAATAAAAATATGGATTTAATACTTTAGTACTAATTTAGAAAAAACTAAGATTATGTCTTGGGTGATTATTATCTACAGCCATAGATAAGAGGCTGTAGTTATGCTGTCATAACCTCGTTGTAGACTAAGGCTATGTCTATACTGCAGGCTTCTTGTGCAAGAAATGTTTTGCACAAGAGTTCTTGTGCAAAAGGTCTTGCGCAAGAGCGCGTCCACACTGCCATGTGCTTTTGCACAAGAGTGTCCATGGCTGTGTGGATGTGCTCTTGCACAAGAAAGCTCTGATGGCCATTTCGGCCATAGGGCTTTCTTGCACAAGAAACCCCTTGTTGCCTGTCCACACTGCCTTCTTGTGCAAGAGGGCTTATTCCTCGTGGGGAGAGGAATAACTCTTGCACAAAAAGCCCTGTTTTCCAACGCTTTACTGTAAACTTACTTGCACAAGAACACGTGTGCAGTGTAGACACTCTGCAAGGTTTTGCTCAAGAATAGCTGTTCTTGCGCAAAAAGCCTACAGTGTAGACGTAGCCTAAATGTAGATGGTTGGAAGGGATTTCTCCAGTGGTGTTTCTTCCCCTCCCCAAGTCACAGAAACTAGGTTCATGAAGCATCATTCCATTGACTTAACTGAATCTTTGCCAGGAGTTAGGTAAGCATAGCTAGATCGGGTAGGACCCTGACTAAAGTAGCTATGCTTATTTAACTTGTAAGTACAATCCAGGTCTAAGCAAAGATTACGAATTACAAGTCTTTATATAGATCAGATAGGAGCTTCAGAATTTTGATCCTTCAACTAAAATTAGCAGAATTACAATGCCATAGCACCGCTCTAATTTCCTCACTTGAGTAGACTGTTGGCAAACAGCACATATTGCACAGCAAAGGTGACATAACAATTGGTAATTTTCACATACATTAACTAAGGATAGGATTTATATTAAGTTTGTATATTAGCCAATTGTTTGTATATTAGCCAATTGTTGCATTATTTAGAAACTGTACGCAGTATAAAAGTCAACAGATAATGGTTTATTAACAATTTATAATCAATTCAGGAGCTATCAATTTTCCATATATAACTTGGAACTCATTTTCTATTTCAGCCATTTAATAGTGTCCAATATTTGGTGACTTTAAACATGAAGTATTTATTTTCCATATCTCTTTTGCTCCCAACCAGAAATTTTACAAGAGCAAGTTTACCATAGTTCTCTGAACATTAAAAAAGAAGAAGAAATTATCCAGAAGAATAAACATTTCTAAAAATAGAGATTCAAAAGTTCTAAAGTGTGGGTACTTGATTCAGGGCCAGCTGTCTCCCTGCTGTAAATGTAGGGACTGCAGTCCAGTTACAGCAGGATGGATTTAGGCCCTCACTGTCTTTTTTTTTCTTTACAAATCAGTTTTATTACTTCTGGGAGGCCACCAGGCAAAATCCATTTGCAAACAATTGGTGAGTCAAGAGATTGTGACCAAGAAATTATCAGAGCTGTGAGATGTCATCACAGTGAAACCCAAACATATGAAAATTGCCTGGTTTCATGCCTTGCAATAAACTGGAATCACAGGTCAAGTGTGCTGAAAGGTTTTTGAACCAAGGGTCAGTTTTATATTTTTACTCTGAAATAATGCAGTTGTGTGGCTAAGCAATCACATGAGAGTTGGAATGGCTATACTGTAACATGCTGATTTTGTGTGAGTGATACTTCATCCCTGTCTTTGGCCTGTGGGAAAGATATGGGCCTTATTACTACCAAAAGCCAAGGGAGTTCTTTAGTTCAGGTGGTGAAGGACTCTGTTTTAGCAGCTGAATGATCAAGGTTCTAGCCCCAGCCCCTGTTCTTGTGCTTTATGCAATAATTGTCTATTGTGCACAACACATGCATTCATTAATATTTCACACAGCTCCAGAAGTAAGCTTACTATCAAACGGTTAGAAAGAAATCTCTATCTAATACTCATCATCCTCTTCATAATCTTCCCCTGCGGTTGCAGCTTCCAGAGCTGCAAGAGCTTCTGCCACATCTGCATCCTCCTCTTCTTCCTCTTCAATTTTTCCATTAATGTCTTTATGGTTAGTGTGTTTCACCTCTTCTTCTTTTATGAGGCCCTTGGATGCAATACCATCAGGCATGTCCTCTTTGACATGTACATTTATACACTCAGTTTTAAGCACTTTGTCCAATGAATCATAGTTTTCCTTCATGTGCATAGGCAGGCTTGGGCCAGGATCCTCACCCTTGTTTATCACTATAGACTCTGCATTTTGGTCTGAATGTGTGTAATTGTCTGAAAAACTATCTTTTTCAAGAGCATTATAGTTTATGGTTTGGTGGTGATCAGTGTCTGGTAATTGGATGGCATCATTTTGTGTGTCCAGTATTGCACTTTCAGTGAGTGAGTTGTTTTCTCCTGTGGATGGTGAGTACTCATCTAGAGAACTTTCAGCCTCTTCTGAATCTGGCTTCTTGTGACTGCCTGTTTTTGGGTCACGTCCTTTGCCAGATTCACTTGGTTGAGAGAGTCCATTGGTGTAGAGGTCTCCTGTCCTGTTGGCTAAAGAACTTGCTGACTGGCTGTTGTTTTCATGTGTGGAGGTTTCTTTGACTTGGTTTATGTTGGGGTTAGGAATGGGATACGTACTACTACAGGAATTGACACCATTGTGAGCATTGTCAGACTTTTCAACACAGTTTCCTATCCCTTCCTCATGAAGAGCAGTTCTTCCATGGTTCCAGAAAGCCTCTTTTGTGTTATTGATCCTGTTTTTGTTTTCCGTCCTCTTTAACACCTCGTTTTGTAGTTCATTTTTATGCACGAGAGTTCCACTGTTTTGATTGCCTTTGGATATATTGCTGTCTTGCTTGTCTGGTTTGTAACTGTTTATTTCATTGGTGTGCCTTGGGGATTGTACCTCTTCCGGATCAAAGATGTAGCTGGGGAAAGGAGAATTTTACCAATTAATATTTTCTGTTTGAAACTGAAAACTGATTACACCCAACTTAGACATGTTTAGATTAAACAACTAATGCAGCTGTGTCTGACCTAGAGCATTGTGTACTAAACGTGGAATGCACATACTTAGTTGTGGTCATTTTCTCAGGAAAATGAATGTTACAGGACAGTTTGGCTCCAGCTCAAAGGCTCCCCAAGGTGATTGAGAGTCTGTGGAGTGCTTCATTGGTTATGTCACAGGACAAGAAGCCCTTCCACCTTAAACAACATAGTTGTTCCCAACCTTTATCTCCTTTGGAAGCTTAATGGACATCCTGCATGTGTTCCCAGTGATCATGCCCTGACTTAGCTGCCCATCATCTTTCCTTTCCTCTGGGTATTTTCTCTCTCTCATCTCCCTTCTGTTACTCCTCTGTTCTTATTTTTTTTCTATTCATTTTTGTGTTCCCCTGCACGTTTTCCATTTCTGATATTTTTATTATTTTGACACATGTATTGATTATTCTGCATGCTACCCCTCCCTTTTTTAGTCTGGTAGTTTCACTTGCCTTCCTCGTTCACCATGGTGAGGGAAAGGCATCCACATAGGGCTTAGTGGAGCATGGAGAAGCTTGGACTGACAGGCTGTGTAACTTGAAAGTCCTTTACAATGTGACCTATCCCCAAAAGTTTTCATAGTAAAGTCTACAATGCAAGATGCAGGGGTGGTAGATGGGAGACTTTGCTATGTGCAGATACACCACACATTATCAGTGTTTAGGATATGGTGGATCTTGCAGCTTCCCAGTGAAATAGTCTAGCTTTTTGCCGCACAAGTGGGGAAGTGCAACTGTGAGAATTTGCCTCCATTGTCACACTGCTCCTGTGGGATAGCAGCTAAGGAGATGAAATTCAACTACAATAAATCAGCATGAAGTTTACAATAAATCAGCATGTCTGGGCTTACAAAATGCCTTAATTGATATAAACTGTAAACTCGTGGATTATTTGCAACCTGGTAAATTCCTTAACCTGAAGGAGGAATTCAGGTGAGAATGAATTTATTTTAAATTCGCTTTTTATTTTATTCTGATTCCAAGTACCATTTGTTCTGCTGTACCTTTGTATCATTTTACAGCACCTGCACCCCATCTGGATTCCTTGTTGTTAACATCTGAAAAGAGAGAGAGAGAAGGCAAGGGAAAAGAAAAGTGAGGGAATGAATTATTTCCTGCAAATATTGAATGAATAGTTGCACTGAAAATGAGCCTCCTGTTTTGAAAGGTTCTGCGGGTTGGAATGAGATTCCCTTTGCTTAGCCTGGGAAATATCATGGGGTTAGTAATGCCTCTTGAACAGAATGAACTTTTTCAGTGTTACTTTAAATTCTTGACTTGTATTTTGACTAGAAATAAACTGTTGTATGTAGCTTTTTTGTGTGCATCACGTCTAATAACAGAGCTTCTCCTTTTGCAAAATGCTTTCAGATCCCACTGACAACCCCCCATTATTATGAAGAGAAGAGAAACAGCATGTTGATTTTGTCCTAATAGTAATCTTATGTTCACATATATGCTGAAAGCCAAAACCCAGATCTGAATACCCAAGAACTTTGGGGAAATTTGAAATTCAGTTTTATGGCTTGGGTCCATCTGTACGTGTCGATGGAGCCATGGCCCTTTGTAGCCATGCAGCAATAATGGAATTTCTACCCATTACTAGTCAGGATGCCCATTTCCTCTTGAAACTTGAGCCTGACAGAATCTGTTACTCCTTTGCCTAGCAATAGCAGATGAATTTCCCATTAGGAGAAAAAGTAGTGGCACTGGATTAGGGTACTTTCCTGTGCCACTGATTTAATTATTTTACAAAACTCCTGTTTATCTTGAATAGAAGTTCTGCAGTTCCACTTGGCAGAAATTCAGACTAAAACAGAAGCATCAAAAAACTACTCCTTTCTCTAGTCTTGTTTCCTCTGGTGCTAGTGCTAAAACAGGCACAAGATCTGCCTGCTGATCACTCTTCCTTGCTCACTTTGACTTTATAGTCATCTATCACTCAGGAATGAGAAATGGTGGATGCTCTAACCTGCAAAGACAAATATATTGAACTTTGTGAAGATACTTCTGCCACCATGCTCAGGGTGTCCTACTTTGTGAATAGGACAGTTAGCATCAGTCTGACCTCATCCATCTACTCTCTGATCTATTTGTGACCCAGATCTGACAGCCCCTGAATGATATGAGAACCTGACCTGGTTCCAAGTTGCAATTTCAGAAAAGCCTCCTCTGTTGCAGGGGTTGTGTTGATGTTCTAGAGGGACAACATAGGCGTCAGGTATTGAAATTGTGCCACAATTTACCACTTGCAGGCCATTTTGTCCAATTCAAAACTTGGAATTTGATCAAAAGGAATTTCTGGTGGCCAGGCCTACCCATTTACATTAAGGATTATATAGTGTTTTCTGACCTCTGTGCCTGTACCACGGATGCACACTTAAAATCTCTAGGTCTCCTCCATCCTCTGTTCACACCTCTACCGCTTTGGTCTACTGTACAGGCAGTCCCCGGGTTACGTACAAGATAGGGACTGTAGGTTTGTTCTTAAGTTGAATCTGTATGTAAGTCGGAACTGGCGTCCAGATTCAGACACTGCTGAAACTGACCGCCAGTTCTGACTTACATACAGAATCAACTTAAGAACCCCAGGCGTCCCCAAGTCAGCTGCTGCTGAAACTGATCAGCAGCTGATTCCAGGAAGCCCGGGGCAGAGCAACTCTGCCTGGGGCTTCCTGTAGTCAGCGCTGGTCAGTTTCAGCAGAAGCTGACTTGGGGACGCCTGGGGCAGAGCAGCTGGGGTGCTGCTGGGTTGCTCCAGTAGTGCCCAGAGCGGGCGCTGCAGGACCAATCGGCAGCGCCCCAGCTGCTCTGCCCCAGAGTCCAAAACAAAAGCCTGGTCTGCTGGGGGGGGG